GTACCTACAAGCCACTTTTGTGTTCTTCTGTGCCACCTCTGTAGTACAAATGAATTTTTCAGTAATACTAATTTCATGATTGGTAACTTATTTGTCTTATTCTACTTCTTATTATATTGTTTTAAATAAAAATTTTAAAAAGCTTATAAACATACATTTTTGAAATTGACAGATGAAAATTACGCCATTGCAAAGGTAAAAAGTAAATGCCCCTGTAAATCACTTCACCTCATATTAGGAAGGCTAATTTTTGATCAGAATGTTTGATTATTAATCAGAAGGTGCTCCTTAATTTTTTTTAATTAGAAGGACAAGCACTCTTGATTACAAGAAGAAAAACACTGCTCTTAAACTGGGTGTAAAGAGTTTAACTCTTTAAAATAAAGAGTTTACTGTGGGAGTACTACACCCAACCAACACCAGGGAAGGCAGTTTTTGTCAGAGCCCTTTTTATTCTTAATTTTGACATTAATTTAAATTTTTACACCAGACATATATATCGGTTCAAAATATCGGTTATCGGTCTACTTGATCTGTAATAATCGGTATCGGCATCGGCATCGGCCCTGAAAAACACATATCGGTCGACCCCTAATTGATACTATATCAGGGATAGGCAACGTCGGAGTGCCGCTGTCCTGCAGAGTTTAGCTCTAACCCTAATCAAACACACCTGAACAAGCTAATCAAGGTCTTCAGGATTACTGCGGCTACAGACAAGTGAGGCTTTTTTTCAGGGTTGGAGCTAAACTCTGCAGGACATCGGCACTCCAGGACCGACGTTGCCTACCCTTGAACTATATGAAATGATGTAAAGGCCCCATATCTTGAATTTTTTGATGCATTTAAATAGACTGTATCATGCCGTTAAAGAATGTTAGCTCCCTGTCACCTGACAGCGGAAAGCAGTGACTGGGTGACTGACAGCTAATATTAACCAATCTAAAATCTGCATTAAAGTTAAGAATGTAAAGATGAAGTTTAATTGGTTATGTAGCCTAACGTTTCATAGAACAGCAGACAGGTCACCGTATCATCACTCAGAAGGCACATACTCTGAACGTTTTTAGAGATATTAAAACAGGTCGCACGACAACAATTATATGCACTCGCACAAATGCTCCCAAATATATTTTGAGGTCGCACAGATTAAATTTCGGGAGCATATGCGACCAAAATGGTCACAATTTCGAGCCTTGCTATCTGGGAAGATTTGCATAACGCTGCCCAAGTGTTCACGCAAAGAAAGAAGGCGTAACTTTTATTCTCGCTGTAGTATTGCTGCTGCCGCCGCCATGTCGTAAAGACGCTGTGTGTTTTGAAAATGAAACTACTTTGTTTGGCCTGTTGTTTGTCATTTCTCCGATCACAAATGCAGACATGGTTTTATGTTTACGCGGCACAATGCAATGCAACGCGTACAAAGACAGTATAAGTCATTATAATCCATAATTATGTCCCCACTGGATGCAACGTATGCCTTGTTTATAATGGGTTTTCGTGTTTTTTAATCATCGCTCCGGCCTGACAGGGCATCATCACAATATGGTAGGGGCGTAACATTTCTGTCACACGCTTGAGGTATTCGGCCAATCACAACGCACTGGATAGCTGGCCAATCACAGCACACCTCACTTTTTTAGAACGATGAGCTTTGTAAAAATCGACGTGTTTCAGAAAGGCGGGGCATAGAGGAGAAACAATAATGTACAGTATGTGGAAAATAATGTGTTTTTTGAACCTTAAACCACATAAATACATTTCATTACACCAAATACACAAAATAATGTTCTTTTTAGCAGCATCATATGACCCTTTTAAAGGTGCAATAGGTGATTGTCTTCAGAAACATTTTTTGTTATGCTGGTTGAAAGTCTCTTCACATCCCGATAGCAATCATTAAGTTAAGTGGTCTAAATGTATTTATTAGGGATGTGCGCGACGACTAATTTGACTGTCATTTAAACAAAAGTTTTGTATCCGACTAGTCGACTGGTCTAAAAGCAAGAAACCCCCCAAAAAGAAGAAAAACCTCTGTGCTTGCGTGTAGCATATATTATAGCCTATATTTGAAATACTTAATCTATGAATCACACTGTCAAATCCCTCAATGAATTCCGCTTGCCGCACACTTGCCTCGCATTATCATCATTTAATTTTAGGCGGTCGTTAAAAAGAAAAAACCAAGAAGAGCATACACTCAACGTCGGCCAAAGCATAGTTTATTTATTCAAATCAGCTGGGGAAATGCAAAACAATGGAAAATCAGTCAATAGCCTGACAGAATTCTTAATCTTCATATAACGTTAGCCAACATATTAAAACACAAGTCAAAAACAATAAGACGGTTTATCAAGAAATAGCATTAAAACGGCTTTTAAAAACGTACTTTGTGTAGGTTATATTGTCTAAAAACAAAACAATGCCCATTTTACTTACTCAGACCATGCGTTAATTGTTCAGTGACATTATCAACGTGGTCTGGTGAAAGACGGGACTTGAGGCGATTAACAATAAAATTCCTGCATTTGAAAAAACGCGCTCGGCAGGAACTGAAGTCGCAGGCACACAGAGATAACGAAAAGCAAGCCGATAGAGTTTCAGAAAGCGCCTAGACATCCCGCACCACCACCGAAGTGGGTCTTCGTTAAAGGAATAGACGGCGTGAACGGGATCGCAGCACAGGCGGTTTGTAGTGAATGACGTGATTGACATTTGCTGGCTTTGGCCAGCCTCTAACGCCTACGTGCCTGTATTGAATTTGATTACGCATCACTCCAAATTTGACATTACACAGTTTACACACAACTTTTCCATTTCCTTCTAATTCAAAATAATCCCACACCTTCTCGTCTTTCGCGTGGTCATTTTTGAACCGAAGAACAACTGACACGAAGAAAACGCATGTGAGGTCTGAGGTAAAAATGTAGTTTCCGCCCAGATAAACTTTTAAAAATAATGTATTATTTTTCAAACGTTTTATTTTAACTTATTTAAAATGTTTTAAATGCAATGTTAAAATGATGGTACCGTCATTTGAATGATAATATCATGTTTTTGTTTTTCTTTTTTTTTTCTGACATGTAATCGTCTATTGTTTTCAGTGTCGACTAGTAGGATCTGTACCGTTTAGTCGACTAGTCGACTAGACCAGCACATCCCTAGTATTTATATATTCTGTGGAAGGCGTAGGACCATGAAATGTTCGTTCAATCAAAAACGGTCCAAGCGTTTTAATTGGCTTTCCTACCTGCCTGTCAACGTGTGTATTTGCATACCTCTGCGCACCCGGTTCACGCAGACAGGATATGTCATCAGTGCGTTTAGTGTTGTCAAAAGACCCGGTACTTTGGTACCAAGTCGGTACTAAAAAAATTAAAACATTATGGTACCAGGTTTTTTTTTTAAGTACCGTGGTACAGAGTACCCGGTCAACCCGGTTGTTGATGCGCTATCCGAAAGGTGCGCAGATGCGCTCTCTTCATAAAAGCACGTGGCGACATCAAAAGGAGTAAACACACCAAACTAACGAAACACTTTAAAGACACCCAGATCAAATGAAAGCGTTCAAGCATGCCATGACAACACTAAGTGCGTTCACGCACGCTGTGCAGACAGAGCGAGAATGGCAGACAAACATCAACAACCCGATCTTCCTTGCTGGTATTGTAGCACTTTTAAAGTTTTCTCACCGGTGAATGACACATGATGTAGCCCAGTGGTTCCCAATTCCAGTCCTCGCGTCCCCCCGCTCAGCATTTTTTGCATGTCTCGTTTAATTAACACACCCGATTCAGATAACCAGCTCGTTAGAAGAGAGCTACGTGCATGAACTGTGTTCTGATCGATATGCTCCCTACACAGTGTTCATTACTCCCTACTCCCTGAGCAGGGGAAATTCTGGAATTTTTAATTCTGGAACCTGACTGCTGCACTCTATTATTTTGCAAATAAATCTCCACCAATCAAAGAACAACAACATGCAAGAACACTTTAGCTCCGCTGACTCTCCTAAAGCAAATGACATAAAGTCAGTTTCCTTACTCTTTCAAAAATATTTGTATGCATAATATGCATATTTTGTAATAAACATAAAAAATAATAATTGTTTCAGTATGTAAAAACTGTTGCACTCTATGCATGCTTTATAGATCATGTTATTGTTTAAATTCTCTAAAAGCCTGATTGGCAGACTTCTGAATAGCGCTTATATAATAATAATAATAATAATAATAAAAATAAAATAATAAATACATTTCTGTTATTTTAAATTTAATAACCACTAAATGATCATCAACTCACTGTGGTTTTTGATGCAAAATATGTTAAAAGATTTCCAATTTTATAAGAGGTCCACCAAAAAAATTTAACTTGTCATCATTTATTTACCCTTATTTTATTCCAAAGCTGTATGACTTTCATCTGTGAAAGAATATTTGAATGTTGATAACCAAACAGTTTGGGTTCCCATTTATTTCCATTGTATGGTCTAAAATATAATTGAAGTCAAAAGGGATGTTGGTTTGGTTTGGTTTGGTTTGGTTTGGTTACCAATGTTCTTCAAAATATCTTTGTGTGTGTGTGTTCCACAGAAGAAACAAATGGCGCTTTTCCACTCCGTGGTACGACTCAGCTCGGCACAGCTCAGTACGGCTCGGCTCGGTTTGCGTTTCCACTGCAGTTTAGTATCGCTTTAGAGTGGGCGGGATTATTCACATGTCGTTAGTGGCGCCGCCTATACTGCTGCGACTTCTGAAAAACGTTTTCATTCCGCGTCGCCCCACCAAGCTCTCGCTGGATCCGCTCCTCTGCTATCAACGAGGCACTTGAGGCAGTTGAGGTACTTCCTCAACAGACAACGAAACAGCCACTTTTTGGTTGTTAAAAAAAAAGTGCGCTCGTTCAAGACAGTTGCGTTTGATCCTTCGCTGGCTGTGCTGATTTAAATCTAGCGGTTCTGTTGTGTTTGTGTCACAAGCTCAGTGACGCAGGTAGTGACGATTCTCTCCGGCCAATCCGTGATCAGCAGAGTTTACACGTTTTGGTAACGGTACCGTTCTCTTGGAATCTCAACTGAGGTGGTACTAAAAAAAGTACCAGGTACCAGGTACTGTACCCAGTGGAAGACCCCCCAAAAGTGAACCGTACCGAGCCGTACCGTGCCGTGTCCATCCAGTGGAAAAGCACCAAAAGTCGTTCAGGTTTGGAATGACATGAGGTTGAGTAAATTATGACAGCATTATCATTTTTGCGTGGACTATCCCTTTAAGAACCACTTAGCTTCTTTGGACAGCAGCTAAACCACGGAGGAAATCTCTCCACATAAGATCAGCCTTTCAGACTCTTTACAAAGTTCATATCTTCCTTTTTGATAATTGACCAGAAAAAAAGTACAGTCCTATGTAATGTATTATATCTACAGTATAAAAAATGGGGAATTAAATCCTTGTTTTTCTTCTCTTTCAGCAATGCACCTCTTTCCTTTTCATCCAAAGTTTGTTACATAAAGTATCGAGAGCCTTCCAGTGTTGGTGTGGCACAACATTTAACCAACACTGTGTTTATTGACAGAGCTTTGATTGTTGTGCCCTGTGCTGAAGGTTAGTACATTTGCATTTGTGTTACATTTGTGTGCTTGATTAAACCGAGACACTGACTATTTAACTTCAAATCACACTTTTTGAGAAGAACAAACCATAATTGGCTTCCTGACATTATATTGTGTGTTTTTGTGTCTCAGATATGTGTGATAACCATGAGTCTGTGTGCTAAGGTATCACTTCTATCAGCTCTGTTTTATTTTGTGAGTTCAGTGGAGGTGGGTGGAGTGACACTAGCTCTCTTGTTTATCAGTTGAGCTGGAGGATGTGGAACTGATGGAGGTGATTAAGATCATACTCTGTGTTATGTAACAGCATCAGGACTGTGTGAACACGCGTTTAGTGTTTTGCTAAACTCAAGGGATTATTGCTACACAGTCATTAGTTTATATTCATAAATGGTTTTTGCCTTTTGAATTTAGAAATGTGCTAGAAAATTAGAAAAGCAGGGTGGAACGATGCCAACAGGGTACAAAATCACTAAAAGTCATGTGTATGGAAGACTAGGAGTGACACTTAAAAATAAATAATAAGAATCAATGATCAGTTTATTCATTAACAAAAACTATATTAAAAATCAATTGACATATTCAAAAGTTTGGGGTCTGTAATATTTTTTAATGTTTTGAAAAAGTCTTTTATGCTGTCCAAAGTATTTATTTGATTTAAAATACAGTAAAAACTGTAATATTGTAAAATATTACAACAATTTATTGTATTTGTATTTATTTTTTCTATTTTAATAGCCTATATTTTAAAAATGTCACTTATTCTTTTAATGCAAAACAGAATATTCAGCAGCCTTTACTTCAGTCTTCAATGTAACATGATCCTTCAGAAATCATTCTAAAATGCTTTGGATCTCAAAAAAATTCAATCATCAATGATGAAAACAATTGTGTTACTTATATAAATATTTTAGTAGAAATTGTTATACATTTTTAAGATTTATTAATGAATAGAAAGTTCAAAAGAACAGTTTTTTTTTCATTAAAAAAGACTTTGACGTTTGATCAGTTCAATGCATCTTTTCTGATTTTTTTTTCTTTCAAGCAAACAAACAAACTGTCCAGCTTGTACTTATTTGAGCAATGCTTGAAACTTGGTATTACGAGCACTTCCTGTGTCTATTTGCCTCTTTAAGATGAATCACTTGATGTATTCCCCAATTGTAAGTCGCTTTGTGTCTGCTAAATGAATAAATGTAAATGTAAACATAAAATTATACTGACCCGGCAGTGAACGGTAGTGTAAATATTCAAATAAAACAATAAACCAACTAATAAATCCAGTCAGCTTTTTGGCTTAGTTGAATATAAGACACAGCATGACTATGACACATGTAGAAAGAGCAGACTGTTTTAAATGTCTATTTTTTGGCCAGTTTGAAAATGGATTTTTATTCACAAATTTTAATCAAAACATTTGATTACTTTTTTTTAAAAATTATAAAATTTTTAAGTAGCACCCCTAGACTGCATGACCAATAGTTTATTAAATACCATTTTTGACAGGTGTTTTATTGTCATGATTTTATTTATTTTGTCATTTTGGGGGAAAAAAAAAATCAACTTGAAGAATTGTGTAAATTGTTACTTCCCATTCTTTTAGTGGCCGTTGGTTCAGCAGTACATGTTCTGAAAGAATAATAATAGATATGTGCGTAATTGTTTGATGCTGTCATTAAAGGGTTAGTTCACCCAAAAATTAAAATTCTGTCATTAATTACTCAACCTCGTGTTGTTCCAAACCCGTAAGACCTTCGTTCATCTTCGGAACACAATTTAAGATATTTTTAATTAAATCTGAGGGCTCTCTGACCCTCCCATAGACAGCAAGGTAACTACCACGTTCAAGGTCCAGAAAAGTACCAAGATGATCGACAAAGTAGTCCGTGTGACATCAGTGGTTCAACTGTAAAGTTACGATGCTACGAGAATACTTTTTTGCACAAAGAAAACAAAAATAACGACTTTATTCCGCATTTTCGTCTCTACTGCATCACTTTATATGCGCATTCACGACAGTACCATGACGCGAGTGTCTCCACAAGTGACGCAGTAGAGATGAAAATGCGGAATAAAGTCGTTATTTTTGTTTTCTTTGTGCAAAAAAGTATTCTCCTAGCTTCGTAACTTTACAGTTTACACTAGGGCTGTGCGATATGGAAAAAAAAAAACCTATCGCGATTTCTTTGATCAATTTTGCGATTTAGATTTTAATCACGATTTTGAAACACACAGACATACTTTACCATCATTAATGCATTCAGTGTGAATTTGAAACATATTTCAAAAGAAAACCAATTAGAGCTTTATCAAAAAGCTGTAACATGTCTCTAGAACAGACATAAGGCAAAATAATCACTAAGTAAAGGTGTAACAAAATGTCTCTAGAATAGACATATGGCAGAAAAAAAAATAAAAAATAGTTTTTTTTTTGCTGTGCATTGGTCATAGAGCTCTTTGTGGCGTTGCCTCAGATGTTGAACTAGATTTGTTGCGCCAAGTTCACACGTACTCTGTCTGCAGTGCGTATACAGTATGTGTATGCGGGTGCATAAGCAGCACGGACTCATTTTGCTTTCGCACAGGATGCATTTTCAGTCCGCTCCTGATCCACGGCTGTTTACCACAAACACAACATTTATCCATTATTTTGATTTCAAATCCAAATGTTGTTTCTGAAAATGCTTTTTCAGCATCGTGATTCTCTTTTATCACAGTCCAGTAATACAATCTTTCATAGACATATTCACGTTTAAACTCAATAAATATAACTTTGTTTAACTACCACCATGAGTGCCATCTATTATTGCCTTATCTAAAAGTGCACTTTTCTTTGTTTTAAATCTAGCTAAAAAGCCATGTGTTGACTGTGAAACAGTAGACTTTAATTATATGCATTTATGGTGTAATTACTAAATTTCCATGTCAGTCCATGTTAATTTTTACCGCAAATAATGCGCTGTCACTTTAATTCAGCACGTGCAGCACAGCAGAAATAGATTCCATGCGGAAACGATCGCAGCATAACTGCTGCAGACGCACCGCTCCTGGAGCGCACTGCGCAATCGCGTGCAGTGTGAACACTCTGATCCGGATCTTTAACATGGGCGCGGAAAAAATACGCACCACTGACGGAGTGTGTGTGAACCTGGCGTTATGTTTGTATGCCCGCTCGGTCTGTTCTGTTCTCGTGCTCCATTTAGGCACGCTGCATTCTGATTGGTTCAGATAGCATACTGCGGGAGGTCGGGGGCGCGGAAAATCATGCTATAAAGCAATTTAGAAATCGCGCACTCAAATCGCGATTTTATGATGATTTCGATTAATCGCACAGCCCTAGTTTACACGGACTACTTTGTCGATCATCTTGGTACTTTTCTGGACCTTGAACGTGGTAGTTACCTTGCTGTCTATGGGAGGGTCAGAGAGCCCTCATATTTCATCAAAAATATCTTAAATTGTGTTCCGAAGATGAATAAAGTTCTTATGGGTTTCGAACAACACGAGGGTGAGTAATTAATGATAGAATTTTCATTTTTGGGTGAACTAATCCTTTAAATGTTCTTGCTTGCCTGGTGAACAAAGCATTGCATTTTGAATTTGAATTGTTTGCTATGTGTGAATTGTGAAAGATTTTGTTTGCTAAATTATTAGATGCATTAGCTCACAGGAACTTCAATGAATGAATTAATGATAAACATAGTAACAGCTTTTCACTCTGGCACTTTCATGCATTAATCAAACACAGTTGTCCTGTGTTACTGAAGTTAATCAAACACAAATCCTGTTACTGAAGTTATATATATTATATATATATATAGATATATATATATTTTTTTTTTAATATATATATATATATATATATATATATATATATATACACACACACACACACACACACATACATACATACATA